GTAAAAACATAAAATCTAATTATACAAAAATCTTTGAAAAAGGTACTCGACTTTTTATAGATTTATAAATCTCATCGTATTGCCAGTCAGCCAGCTATGGCCCGGAGAAAGGATATAATTGGCGCATGAATGCTACTCAAAAGCTAGTAGAGTGGCAATGGAAGTTGCTTTAATGGCCACTTAACATCGTATATATTAAGGATGTGGCTGCGGAAAGTGTTAGTGTAGATTCAGAGGAATACGTGACCAAACACAAGAGGTCGTGCCCACTCCACCTACACTCCAAAAATCCCTGCCAAAGTCACGTGATCTTGCCGGAGGATAAGTTTGTCGAGGTTTGTGGTTTGTTTGTTTGAGTGGATAACTTTCTTATCTTTACCCAAACTCTCCTGGTAGAAAGTTTGCTAACAATATTTCATTATTTTTAACCAAACTTTCTTAAAAAAGCTTTATTATTTTTCAATCATTAATTTTGTCTTTTTTCTCCTCCCTTCCTTGTTATAACGGTACGAACTCCTTCGAAGTTCTCTTTTCTGTATTCGAAGTAATTACGAGTGGAAGACGTCATTACAGGCGTTAGCGTTGTTTTGAATCTTGATTTTCCTTAATTCAAAAAATATAAACCAAATAGGAAGCTATTATATTTTATAAAGAAATGTCATCTCTGTACAATTGTAGAACTCACCATTTTCAATAATAGGTGTCAATAGAGAATATAATAGACTTTCCAAAACGTTATCGGAAATGCCTATTTTGTGCCTTTTTCAAATTTTCCGACATTTCGCCTTCTCTTCAAACGAAAATTTTCAAACATCTAAACCAAACAAACGCACAAAACGTCATTGTAATCCTTTTAGATTGAGAGTCGAAAAATCCGATTAGGCCTATATACGTTCTTTCCTGTTCCTTTATATACAAAAAGCGGTTAGTAAATTTTTGTATAATGCACCAACTCAAAAACTGATTGTGTCTGTTTGTATACATTAGAAAAAGAAATCTCATTTAAAATTTTAACAAATAATTATGTAATTATTAGTTAAAAATATAACTAACACGTAGAAGTAAATAAATCAAAAAAATTTTTTTCTTACCTCTGGTATCTAAAACACCCTTGACTTCTAGGAATCAAAGCAGGTGTTTTGTTTAAAAGAAACAATTTAGAAGGGAATGTACCCAGTTACTCCTCTCAAGCATGATTAGGCAGAATGCGAAATTTGACATTTTTAGTGTTAACTTCAGTTTTGTATGCTTGACTTTAGTTTATATATAAAAGTGTGCATTTTTATAGGTAATATATTCTATATTGCCTGTATAAATGTATACTTTCGTTTATATTTTAATTAATCAAATTATAAACAAAAATTGTTTTTTAACTTGTTAAATTTGTTCTTTTAATGCTTTACACAAATGAGATTTTGTATATTTTACGATTTTATTTTTAAAAATATCTTCTTTAATTGAAATAGAGTTTAAATCAAAGTACATCTTCAAATATCTATTTTCAACTTTTGTGACATTATTCTTATTTTATTTAATCTTGAAGATTTTAACATAAAAAGATTTTTCCTTTGACAAGGTAGAAAAGTTTTTTCTGTCATTACAAAATGAATTCACTGTTCTTATAAAACAAACTGCTAATTCAAAATGAAACTTAAACTTTCTAGAGAGAGAGAGTACTTGCTAAATCTTTCTTGACCAGAATTTTTATTAGAGATAANAATATCATTTTATTTAAAAATTTTAAACTCTTTAATTTCTTCTCTAATACCAATAATTGATATATATATTTTACGAATTTGTAAATTCTTTAAAATTCTTTAAAAATTTCATATTAAAAAAACTTTTAAATATAAAACAATTCTCAGAATAAGAAATTTTCTATTATGATGCAATAATAATGAAAAAATTATATTTTTTAAGGTCAGTTAACCAAACAAGGAACAAGTTGAAGAACCGTGAACTTAGCGAAAACACGTGTAATTTATTAATTATAGAAATTGTAAAAAATAAAATAAAATAAAATTTTACCAGGAACCCGCTTAAAATTAATTTTTAATTTTATTAATGCGTAAATTGGAATTAAAAATGAGGATTAAAAGAAAAATTAAGTTTTAGACCCCGCACAAGGTTAAACTTTCGTTGTAAACACTGGAAGTATAGTTAAACCTGATTTTCAAGCTCCCAATAACAACAATTCAAATCTGTGAGATCTCTAGAGATTTGTGTCAAGGTTAAAACAAATTGTTATTAAAAATCTCATAATGCGCTACGGGATTATTAAAATTAACAAGTTATATCACTGGCAGTGTTATATTTTTGTGTTTAGAAAGAAATATATTTCAAAGAATCAGACTTGTTTGTCTTCAAAATTGAATTTTTGAGCTTAAAAAATTTACTAGAATTAATTCTTTGTTTGATAATTGACTAAAGAAAATTTGTTTAGGGAAGGGGTTTTTTTAATAACTTTCGCCCTTTTTTTAAGTGGAGATGAAAATATAAATCGTGACAGACAAGTTCGTTATTAAATCTGTCGTTCACAATGAAAGGTTTTAGTCAAATCAAATCCACTTTCATTGAGTACTAATAAAACAAGTTTCTAATAGATTGCGGTGGAAAGTGTGGCAGTGATTGTCTTGTAAGTCAGAGAGGATTTGCATTTGGAAATGAGGATTTTGTAAGGATTTAGACGGACGTATGCGCCTAACAAACAATAGTGTTTTGTACGTTTTACGTTTTCCCCTTTTGTGATTTCATGCAATATTCACGCAACTATCCCCATTGGTATTTAATAGGAGAGGGAGAAGTACTGCAAAACGAAAGCCCCTATCTGGGATAAAATCCCCGCAGTTTTTGGAGGAAAAATCTCACGAGACATTTCCTACCCTATCGATTCACTTTATTTGTAAAGTATTATACGAAAATAAGGTTACAAGCAGTTGTTATTGCTCTTTTCTTATCTCCGAACTTATTTGTATGCGTCGAGTGCGGCACAATGAAAGTTTGTATACCTTATTTTTCTACAAGATTTCTTTTATATATAAGTAAGTCTATGAAAGATTGAATCTCTAAGAAGATTGGGTATTTTTTAAAATATTTTCTACCCTTTCAATATTACTTTATTAACTTTTTATTATCTTCAGAATTAGCTAAAATAGCCGTAATACACGGAGTCATGTCGAACATAACGGTTACGTTATATAGGGAAGCAGTGACAACTGTCCTTCGGGAATGAATGGTGGTCGATTTCCTTGACAACTTTTATCGCTTCGAACAGGTTAGTATGATAAAAAGACACGATTTCATAAAAACAAGGGCAGTTAGTATGCTCGATATAGGATTGGCAATGTCCTTCGCGGTTGACATCATAGTATATTCGACGAATTTCAATTTTTCCCATTTTAAAACAGACTGTTATCTTCGCTTAGGGGGTTATAATGTTAAGGACATTGTCCAGTCACACAATATATTATTTTTTGAAAAATGTGATTACACTTACACGACAACACCGGGATAAGGTCTAGGTGAACAACTTTAAACTTTCACCCAACAGGAAGTCTGTTCGCGTTCTGACTGCAGCTTAAGTTAAAATTTATTCATATAAGGATATATATATATATATATATAACGGTTGCGACATTGCTGATGTAAATACTGATAGTTTTTTGTATTATTTAATTCCTAAATATATAATACGACTTCATCAACGAGTTAAATATGGATGTTAAAATTACTTAAACGTAATACTGATATATCCTTTTACCTTCAAGGAACTTTGTAATTCTAAGATTACAAAGTAAACAAACATATTTTATTCATTAATATTTAAAATAGTTTTCTCTTATTGTTGTATTAACAATAAGAGAACAAAACCATTTAAATTTAAATTATTAATTAAATTAAGCAATTTAAATCTGAAAGACATTAAGAGGAAGAACATTGCATTATTACTGAACGTAAAAAATAATTTTGAAAATCTTTGAATCTCTGTAAATACATTTTTACAGATGAACTTTTTAATATTAAAATACCGTTAGTTAATGATGCGTGATGTATTTATCATATTTAAACTCGATCTGAAAGTCTTTGCACGCCTTAGTCGACCTTGACATCGTTCGTAATATTCTTAACTAGTTGACTTTGACTCTTCATCTAACACTTGAGGTAGTGCAAGATGACTAGACATCTCAAACTTATAAATTATCTGGTAATCACGTTTGGTCCTCTAAAAACGCTTTATGTCTTAAAGCTCGTGTGAAAACTTTGATTACTCCTAATTGTGTTATAATTTTGTTTTTATTTTTAGTTGAAGTGTAATAAAGATAATATATGTAATGTTCTCCAATTATTAAGAATATTATAAAATTTTTTAAATTAACAAAAAGCAGTTTCCATCACCTTGAACTACTTTTCCGTTATGGGGAACTACACAAACTAGTTCTCCCTGAATATTCTGCAACTGAGGAACAACTTTCGATTTTTAAATGCTTCCATTTTTGCATTAAGCAGTTTACCTTGCATGCCTTTCTACAATTCTCAATTTAGATTTCGTACAGAGGTCAAGTCCTCCACTCAGAAGATACTCTTTCACCGATCCTCTGTCTCTCACAAACTTGCGAAATAAGGAAATGAGGTGAGTGCATCTCTATCCTTTTCTTGTAGGAGCTCTACAGTATACGGCTAGATTAGGCTTCTATTCATTTTAGATCAGTGGCTAAATATTTTTCATTTTGGTTCGATTTAAGTATCATCGATGTTTTATATTTTTTCTTCATTGTTTAGCATTTTTAAGTTTAAATTTTGCAATGCGAATACTATTATTGTAGTATTTAATGGTGTGTTTGATTCTATTACGAATATATGAAATTGCATTTTAAAAGTATGTTGCTAAACACTAATAGGAACATTCTAACAATTAGTATAACTGATCAAAAAAGTTTATATAAATATTTAAGAAATGAGTTGGATAGTGTCGACATCTTAACTTGTCTTTTTCTTCGCTTATAGATTGTCGAATCTTGTTTATTTAATGTGTACAAAGTTCGACAGAAATAGATAGATCTTAGGCATAGCGATTAATACTGTGTATTTAATCACTTGATAACGATGTGAGATCTTTCTCTGATAAAAAAAATTTTTGTCGATTCCTAGATAGATTTTAAAAGGTGTTTTTATATCTTACATACTAAATTATGGATTACTTTCAATAATATATTCATTTCCAAATAACTGATATTAATTTTTATTAGTGCTAGAATATTTTCTGATATTTTTTGAAATTCTAGAATCTTTCTATTTAGAAAATCGCCCATTTTATTAGAGAGAAACAAAATTAATTACTAAAAAACACAAGTCATTAATGTGACCAATTCTAAAGAAAATTCAAATAATTTTTTTCTGTAAACTTTTGACATCAATTATTTTTAAAAATTAGGAATATACTTCATGTACTGTACTGTACTTTTACGTCTTTCCGCTAGATTTAAAAATCGACAATACTTCCTTAAACTTTGAAGATGATGTGTCTGTAATATGTGACCACCCAGTTCACTTATACAACTCTTTCACCCTTTTTTTTTTCTTTTTTTTTAAGTAACTCATGCCATATGAGCAACAAGAAAAAACTGCAACTTCCTGCCACCCCTTTGGATGTTTGCCAAAAAGTATCCTCGGTAAAAATTTAAAATCATATAGCCTAATAGAGAGCTTGTAGAAAAAAAATCTATAATCCGGTTATGATATATAGAAAATGTTTCCTTCGGAAAATCCCGTTGCAAGTCATGTAATTAATATTCCTATTGTGTAAACCGAACGAGAATTACTGTTTATTGATAGTTATTACCTATAGCTTGAGCGTATCGCATTTATAGGCACAGGTCGTGTGAAGTTAGTTTCAGTCTTCTACAGTAAGCGTGATAGATACGGAGTAAAGATAATTGTTAGAAGTCCGAATTTAAAAACAGAGGTGGGAGCATTTTGTAACGAGCTTTGAAGATTCTAAAATCGGATGGCCCCCTCATCCCATCAGTCATTTAGTGGAAGATCAAATGGCCGTGAAAAATAGACTGGACTCTTCCGGTCGGTCGCTCCAGCGGACTTTAAAGTCCTGAGTGTATATTTGTCTGTTCTGCTATGACAAATGGGGTGGTCAATCGTCAAGACGGCAGGACAAACTAGCTAATGGAAACAACCTTTCTCTTAACATTTTCAAAAGTTTTGCCAAAAACTTTTTCTCTTCTAATGGCCATTTTCGGTGGCCCACTCTTGGGGAAAGTTTCCTGGAAATTAAAAAGTACGTACGGTCTTTTTTTTATTTTTTTATCGTCTAATTCTTAATGACTGTTGTTGAGATACATTAAAAAAGCAATCTTTGTTCTTTGCTAGTGTTTAATACTTTAGTTTTCATTTGTTGATTGTTGGAATCTGTCTTTTTTCTTCTGTTTAATTTTTGTTCTCATAAGAAGTGTACAGAAAAATATTTTGTCAATCGATGAAATTAAGAAGAAAAATGTATATATAAGAATTCATTATATCATGTACACTACAATAAACAGAACATTCGATAAGCCCTTAAGTTTATCAGAGTAAAAATGTATAATAATTTATTCAAAAAATGGTTATTTTTTACAAATGAAACATAAAATACAAGCTAATAAGCTTAGTGAAAAATGATACATTATATATTATNTTAAAAGAAGGCTCATGAGAAAGTAAATGAATGGCATAAGGAAGAACATAATCAGGAAGAATTGTAAAAAGTTTCCCTGTCATATAGGTAAAAAGATTATAAATTTTTTCATGTATATAAATGTTAATTATTTAACTTAAACAGTAAAAAAACTGATTTAAAAAGGTATATATATATATATATATATATTTTAATCAATCTCCTGGAATTTACAAGTCAAAAAACTGATGTCTCAAACTTTTCATAAATGGAACTTTTGTAAGTGAAAAATATCTCAAAATTAAACACTGTATTTTATGGCATATCAAACACAACTTTTGTAAAAAAGAATCACATCTTATATGTGAAGAGTGATCACCATTAGGTTTATGATTCTTCAGCTGACCTTCAGTAGTTACATGTAACCTTCACCCTGCTCAACTCTTCAATAAAAATGTTTTATGAATATGAATATTTCCCTTACTATAATATGCACTTAATATATTTAACATTTAAACTTTACTCACTTCATAACAAACATGAAAAGAAAATAGTTTTTTGAAAATTCCCAAAAACATCAAAATTTAACTTAAATACCTTATTCCATAGAATTCCTCATTTATGAATTTTTCCATTAAATAATTTACAAAGTTTAGTTAAAAGAAGTTTTGCTTTTTTAATTATTATTATTGTTGATTGCATTTTCTTGACACGTAACAAATATTGTACATACATTATTGAAATTTAAAAAGCGTTCGATTTTATTTATGAATTTATAGTTATGTAATAGAAAGTAGAGAAGAAATATTAAAAACTGAATTATCAAATTATATTGTAAATATTAAAACAAAAATCTGAGAAACAGATTTCTATAAATAAAATTGATCATTTAACTCTTTCAACGAGTTTACACAAAACTATATTTTTTGATATGACAATCTGATTAGTAAGTTTATAAATGCAAAGTGTTACTTGAAAATTATTGGTAGTTGCACTCATTCGAAGAATAGGGAATGGTATTAAAAAGCAAGAAACTGTTTAATTAAAGAGGTAAAACGATTTCTCCACGAATAAAACGGAGAACAATTGGATGAGTTAGACGATTGTATAATTGCAGTAAGGCATTTCCTCGTCGCCAAGTGACAATGCCAGTACCATTAATGGATAATGGCCGTTACACAATGACCCGACAGCGCAAACACTCCCCAAACGTGTCGAGTAGTTGTAGCTACAAACAAGGCTAGGAAATAGTAATTTCCAGACACTTTTCAAACCAATCTTTAGAAAGAAGTGGTCTTCAGAAAAGTACGGGCCAAGAACGGGTCTCAATCCAACGGAAACTAAGTCAAACCTAGAGTAGTTTCCGCCTGGATAATCTTGGCGACGTTCTTAACAGAATGTGTGAATCTCCGTGGGTGTGTTGCACTGGGAGAAGTTTGCCCGTTTGATTAGGGGAGACAATATTTGTCCAGTGCATCTTTCCGTCCCACTGATTCTTTTCAGAACGGGGGAAATCTGTCCTGATGCCTTTAATCGCACTCGTTTCAAATCGATTGTAGAGGTGAGGATTAAAAGAACGGAAAAACACTAACGGAATAAGAATTACTACTTTACTTTCACTGTTTTAAATAAAAAAAATGCAAGTACTCACTCTGAATTCCCCTCCTGTCCCCGGAACACTCTTGCTTAAGTTTATAATTTTATATTAAAATTTCGCAAATTATCTTACTAATGCAAATTTTTCATTGAAAGGTTCCATTTCTCTATCGGTGTTTTATTATAATTATGGGTTCAGAGATTCCTCTGCAGAAGACTCCAGTCTTCTGAGGAAGAAAGGTAAGAATGTTTTGTTTTTCGTTCCGTGTACTGTTTCCTACGTAACAACTTTTATCGAGTTAATAACGTCACTAGGGGAAATCACCAACTGGGGAAATTGGTAAGAGTAAAATATCATTCGGTTGGTTTAAAATTGATCAAATAACATCGCAATATACAAACAAGGAAATTTTTGCTTCCTTCGTAGATCAATTGTTAAGCTTTCTATACACATAAACTAGACCCCTTTTCTTGTATGAGAAAGTCTCTGTGCAGTTTTAATGTTTAAAAAAATGAATCACAAACTCGGTAGCGGGAAACGCATTTGGTTAATAAAAAGTTGAGCTATGGTGAGGGAAGAAACGAGTCAAAGTTCAGAGCACGTAGGCGGAGACTGAGATAAACTAAACATTTCTATCAAGCGAACGTTTTTATAAGTTTTGACCTTGAACCGAGGGGTCGCGGGGAGAGAAAAAATTGTAGATGATATTTGAGCCTCTCTCTTTCAACCTTGGAACATTCACTTTCTTTGCTGGCGGACGTGGATGGGGTAGGGGTTTTGGGAACTAACTTGTGTTGCACCATGTGAATTTATTCGATATGCGCACTTAACTCGGCATAGAGCGATTCTTGCAGTTTCACTTCTTTTAATCAATTATTGGCCATACATTGCAAATGAAACAATACAGGTTTGTTTTGCTTTATTTTACGTTATTTCGTCCATTTTTCCTCTTCCCCATTTTATATTTTGTGTGTCTTCCTTTCGCGTTTGATTAACCTCTTCCGTTTTTATATCTGATCGGAAGTAAAAGTAAAAGCTTTCATTTTAGTTTACAGAATGTAAAAGATTTTAATTTTTTTTATTTAAAAAAGTCTACTAATCTTCCGTTTTCCGCACTTAAAAATATTGAAATAAGCCTAAATTGTAAGTAGTGAAACAATTTTTAAATTTTAGTTTAATCCTAATAACTTTTCTTCTCTAATTACAGTCACGCGAAAGGTTAATTTACATAAAATATCAAGGCTCGTATTTTAAAAAGCTTATTGTCGGAGAAGCCTATAATTTATAAATGTTTGAAATATTTTAAGTATTTAACATTAATCGAGAATTTCAACCTGTATATTAGGCCTAAATATTCATTCTAAATTCTGATTTTACAAATTTATTTTAGCAAAAATCTGCTTCTATTTAATACCTTGTAAACCTTTTAGACGAAGTATAAAATTAAAATTAGTTTAACAGATTAAGTTAAGGTTACAGGAGAGTTTGTGTATGATAAAAATTTCAAAAATTATTATTTATTTCATACAAGGCTATATAATTTCAATTGGTAACGAGCTCGAGTAAAATATATATAAAATAAAAAAAACGCTTATAAAATATTGAGTTTCGCGTTGTAGCGCGGCCACCATCTTGACATCCAAGATGGCTCCCGCCAACAGATCGATATTTGGTAATAAAACTGAAAAGGTGGGGCACGTGGGCGGAGTTAAGTAACGCCTACTTCTCTCGTTCCTTTTTTCTTTCAATTAAAATAAAACGCCCCCGTAACGAGACTAAAAGCCATTTCTAATGAACCTTATATCCGAAACAGTGGAAAAACTGGACGAAAAACCCACACCAACCGATATTTTATATCAAAAATCAAAAAGTTTAAATCGATTTCTGGTAAACTGATTGACTGTAATAAGAACAAAATTGCACTTTAATGACAGGTTTAAGTCACGCAGTCAGAAACTCTCCGTCGTTTAAAATGCAATTTAGAATGTCTAATAGGAGTCCTCTCGTAGGAATAAACGCCGCTTGATGACCGACTGCGTACAATCAATACGCTTCCCTCAATTTTTTTTTTGTTTTAAACTATTCGAGGTTCTTGTTATGGTTGAAACAAATGTTTTCGTTTTTAAAGAACGATTAAATTATCGGAGTGGCATTTTGATTGGAATATAATCTGCAGACCTAATTCTATCATCTGCTACAGGAAGGAGACCACCAATTAAGTTATTTTTTTAATTACGGGGCTGTTGTTATTCGGAACAAAACTATTTAGCTTATACAAACTTCTCGAATTATCCTCCCTTTACTTATGATAACAAGTTAAAATTATTCGAATTTACAAGGATCTTTCCCGCAATTGTGGGACCATTTGACTAAAATAACTTCTTTGTTTGTCGAAAATGACTGAAAAGTTAAAATCTTGAAATATTAATACTAAGAGCGCTCCTGTTAATAGTCAAGTAACAAAAAAATTCTTAAAAAGAGGTTTCGTCCAAATAAAGAGAAGATCGATTTCTTGTTAACAAAGGAAGCTGAGCATTTCTGTAATTTAAGTCCGTCATTACTATTCAGATTAAGGTCAAACATCGCTGAAAATGAAGCCTATTTACAATTAAATCTCGTTGAAAAATTTAGTCGAGTCTGTGTATAGAATTGGAAAAGTAAGTTATATCCATCTAAAGAAAACTTANCAAATTTTAAAAATTATATTTAATTTTTTAAACTGATTTATTATTCTTTTATAAAATATTTATGTCTGAAATTTAAATATTTTTATTTTTGATTTTGGGTGCAGTTTCTTAGGATGGAAGATGACGTATGGGATGTGTGCAATATAAGTGAACAAGAGTTCGATCACAAAGCGGTTTACATCGTTTTAGACCAACCATGCGAAGATAAATCGACAAATCAAGCCGAATCCAGTCTTCCTAGGAATTTAGTATTGAAAACATCTCAAACTTTGAGCGATGTGAGTAGAAAAATTTGTTTAAAAGAATTTTAGAAGGCGTTAACGTCAAAATAACTTAATTAATTAGTCATTGGTCAATGTTATCAATTAGGAACCACCCTCATTCCTTATCTCGCTTCATAAATTAATGATTAGTCCACATAATATAAACAATAATAGATAATTAAAGGTTTGTAAAATCTAATAAAAATTAACCGTTATTTCTTCTATAAATTCCGAATTTTTAAAAATTATTACGCAAGGTTTAGACCTTTTACCCTTAAAAGTTACATATTAAAGTTTGTTTATAATCTGCATTAAAAAATTTGTTTAACTAATATACTTTTGAAACGTTGCGTAATTAACAATGTCGTAAAGATGGAGACGTCTGAAAACCTCGTTAAAATTATAATTTGACTCGATCCGGCTTCGAAAAAAAATGTGTAAAATTATAAAATATCAACATTTATGTAATTATTTAATTCTAAATGGTAATTTTTCACACAATTTGTTTCTAATAAATTTTTAAAATGCTTTCATCGCGCAAGAAACAGTTTCGAGTCCCAACCATACACTGAAGCAACAAACTTCACACTGACTATGTATTTCATTCGTTTTCGCTTCAAAAAATAATTTATATTAATAAACATAAACAATTATAAAGCATAATTTACATGATTATTCAGTTTTAATTATTTTCATATAATTAAATGTAAAATTTTTTGTATATAAATTGCATATAAAACAATTTTTCAAAAGTTTTTCTTTAATTAAAACAAAAAAATGTTTTAAATTCCAACTAAGTCTATTATCGTTATTAATTGGGATTTTAAAATTTGCCCCCGGGCAAAAATAATTATATAATTCTATAACTTAAAAATATATTTTTTCGATTAAGTTTAATTGATTTTTACAACCGTCGCTTCTGTATATTAAAGAGGAATAATTAATATATTTCCGGTATATAATTTTCTCTCCGTTTTGAAAATTATTAGCAGATACTTCCTCTGACTAATTCAATCTCATAAAGAAGCATTCATACAAAAATCCGGTTATACTGACAATCCCCATAAACCGCTTTTACGTATTAAACGGATTGTTTCCAATAATGGAGTTGTATTACAAGAAAGAAAATCTAACGGATGCATTTCTTTGTAGATTTTTATTTCTTATCGTGATCAAACTCCATCCATAAAACATTTCCGGGATTGGAGAGTTGCTGTCAGAGACCAAAGGCCATTAACATTTACAAGAACAGTGTTTCTTCTGTCCGCACGTGGCCTTTCTTCAAATTTTTTTTCTTTTTATTTTTTAAATAAGGTTTTAATTCTATACTTTCAAAGATTCAGTCCAGAAATCGAATCTTTGTACCTAAATTTTAACAATCTTTCTTCTACAAATATGCCTCTAATCTGGCTAGTTCGGAGATTTTCATTTTCTCGTACAAGCAATGAAGTTTTAATATTTCGAAATCGTCTAAGACATCATAAATTCTTTAATATATTTATTGTATATCTAAGATAAATAATTGTTTTTTTTATTCTTTAGAATATAAAATAATTAAATATCGTTTCGTAGGAGAAATCAAACTAGGCCTATTAAGTATTTACGAAAAATTTATACATAAGTTTTGATATTTGATTTTTATTCACTTAATTAATATTCAAATAAGTTATATTTGATTCTTGGTTTTAAACTTTAAACCTTTTTGTGATGCTCCAAGTTAAATGGAAAACGATTAAAAATCTTCAAAAATTTTTTGATTAAAGTAAGCTGTATAATTCTTTCTCTTTAATAAACAAAATGGCGGACAAATAAATACCAACGATTTCAAAAATAAATTTTATATTTATTTATCTATTTTTAACAAATCGTTTTTATCATTTCTGTTTATTGTTTCCAGTAAATAAGGCTAATTAATTCGGGTATGGTTCGATGACGTAAAAATCTTTAAAATTTTGCCGACATTTTATAAATTTATTTATCTAGCACAACAATATAACAATATATTAATTAAAATTTCTATCATATAAACAAGGAAAATATGTAAATAACTAGAATTATTCTATCAGAGTGTTCGGAACGTTGGTTTTAATATTGTAAATAATTTAAAACTTGTATAAGTAACAAATATAGCCTACATATATACTTATGGTGCGGTTTTTTTATATTTATTTTTAAAAAATCAATATTTTTAAAAGAAATTTAAAACTTGAAAAGAATTAGTTACAAATTATTTCCAATTAGTTTATATATATCTATTTTTTCCTGTCATCTAAGCAGCTTAAAAATAACCTGATTCTAGAAATAAACATTTCCATAGAATGAAATAATTTAACGGATTTAAAGCAAAACCTTGAGTTATATATTTACGATCTTATGCGTAAAATTAATTAAAGGGTTTAATTAACATAAAATATAAGATAGTATCCCTTTATAAGCTCTAGGCCTTTTATATAGAATGATAAAAGTTCTAAGATTGGACCGTATAAATGATATGTAGAGATTCGCTTTAAAATATTTGAAAATTTATAACACTGAATTCTTTTATTCGAAGTTAAAAAATAAATAAATAAATAAATAATAAGAATTTATCACTAATTTAATAAATATTCTTACGAACTTTGCGCTTTATGATAAATATTTTACCAAAAGTTTTACTTTTTGCTAACAAAATATCTGATTTATAGATCTAAACTGAAAGAATTTTGTATACTTTTGAACACATCTATCTCGGTTTATAATATTAAAACTCAGAAATATATGTAATCAGATTTTGAAATTATATATTATATTTTTATTTTAAAATTTTTATAGTTTCTATTGTATAAACGAAGAAAACACGTAAAAACTAGAAATATCTAAAATAGGTTTGAAACTTATTCCAGATATTGTGATAATTCTAGTTTTTTACACGTTTTCTTTGTTAATGATTATATAATTTCTTTATTTTAATATTTATTATTACAGGTATTTGTAAATTTTATTAATTTATTGTCATACAGATTTTTGTCGATAATTCAAATAAAAATCAGAGATATTATTATACAGTGCAATTTGACCTATATTATTATTTATCAATAATATCTGAAAGACTCGTCATTTATGCTTTATCATCCTAATAATGAAAAATGTCTTTAAATAAAAATTAAAAAAAAGGAAAAAAAACAAATCACAGCGAATGTGCAAAACGCCTATGACGTATTTGAAAATGATAAAATAGAACAGATTCAGCAGTTTTAATCAATAAAAATCAGCAGTTTTAGATTCTTTAAGTTGTAAAAAGCTTATACATTTTAATGTGTTATAATTTTTCTTCAGATGTATATAGAAAGCGCATAAGGTTTTTACCGTCGGGTGAGTGTACACGGGTATCTTTTGACACATGCTAACGATGGAGTGCATTCAACTTTTATTCTAGACACGTGGACCACTTTCAAGGTCGAAATTTATACAAAAAATCATTCAATTTTAATTCTTTATCAATATATACACGTGCGACTCTCGACTGTTGAACTCTAACAAAATATAATCTTTTTTTTTTTTTTAATTGATATTTTTGCTTTATCTTATTTTTACAGGTTTTGGGAGTCTGGAGCACCGATTATATACCTAGAGGTACAAGATTTGGTCCCTTATTGGGAGAAATATATAATAAAGATGAAGTTCCTCCTAATGCCGATAGGAAATACTTTTGGAGAGTGAGTTTTCTTTTCTCTATTTTCTTGAACTTTTTCCATCTATATTTAATTAATAATCTTCGACAGGTTTACAATGCTCCTGATTCTTATTACTACATCGACGGTTACAATCTAAATAAGGCTAACTGGATGAGATTTGTTAATCCGGCTTACTCCAGCGAAATGCAAAATCTAGTTGCTTGTCAGATTAAAGAGAAAATATATTTTTACACCATTAAACCCATTCTACCTAACCAAGAGCTGCTAGTGTGGTATTGTCGAGAGTTTGCAGAAAGATTGAACTATCCTCTAACTGGAGAATTGATGCTGGAAAGGATAAGTAAGTTTTTGTTTAATTTTAAAGCTTAAACTTTCGTTCGGTTGGTGTCGAATCACGCACTGTACAGTGACGGAACACGACGCGTTTAAAGTTTACTTAATTTTACAGGACACCACTTCAGTTCCGAAAAGGATTATTATACAAGATCACAACAGCTAACTCCTACCGAAGGAAGCACTCGTAGTGACGAAGGTTATCATAGTAATGGGGGACCCGACGATCATGCCGATGACGTATCTATCCCATTAGAGGATAGTAGTGACGGTGATAGCGATACTAACTACGTCATCGATTATAGCGTCAAGAAGCAAACCGATGAAGATAAGAATGAATTTAGAAAAGTCAAAATCAAAATGACAAAAGCTTTCAATTATAACGGTAACACTACGCAAGAAGAACCCAACTTTACTACTTCGGAACCCATCTCACCGACAGAAGATGCTTACGAAGGAATGGGTCAAAGAATGACAGGACATACACCCAAACCACCGTCTTCTGGCATCCTAGAAAATCTTTTATTACAAGGATCACCAGAGAACAAACGCGAAACCGCAAATTTCGTAAAAAAATATAGCTCCGGTAATAACAGTCCGGAAGTACATACTCCAGATTCGACTGACAAAATGCTCAATTCCGCAGCCTACAATCTCACTAGGCCTAATTATTTATACGTTAATGGTCTAACACCCATGTTTTCGCCCGCACACTTTAATATGTACGCGTACTCGCTAACCGAAAACGGAAATTATCCGAAAATATCCGATTATCCCTCGCATCCCATGACGGTCCTACAACGTCCTCATCACCACCCCCAAGCCTTCAACCAGGCGTTGACACAGCAGAACGCATACACACTAAGCCCTAGTCCACGCGGTTACCGATCTTTACCCTATCCTCTGAAGAAAAGAAACGGGAAGATGCATTACGAATGCAACATTTGCTACAAGACATTCGGGCAGCTATCCAATCTGAAGGTACACCTCCGAACACATTCGGGAGAAAGGCCATTCAAGTGCTCAATATGTAGTAAGAGCTTCACTCAGTTGGCACACCTACAGAAGCACCACTTAGTGCATACCGGAGAGAAGCCTCACCAGTGTGAGGTATGTAAGAAGCGCTTCAGCAGCACGAGTAATCTAAAAACTCATCTGAGGTTACATAGTGGACAAAAACCGTATTCGTGCGATCTGTGTCCCGCTAAGTTCACTCAATTCGTTCATCTCAAGCTTCACAAGAGGTTGCACACTAACGAGAGACCGTACACGTGTCAGACCTGCAACAAGCGTTATATCAGCGCATCCGGTTTGCGTACGCACTGGAAGACTACCTCTTGTCAACCCAATATGGTACCCGATGTTTTCGGACAGGTAGATAATTCGGAAATGGGTAGATCGTACGTTGCAGAGACTGAGTGATGTATAGAAATCTTCGATATATCTCTCTCAATCTCTTTTAATTTATTCGTTGTATCGTTAGTGAAAAACAAAAATCATATTAAGAACTGTGATTCAAGTTATGTTTGTTAACTAAAAAGGAAAAAAAAGCAGTTGCAATAATTGTAGTCAATACATATATTAGACGTTAAAACAGGCGTGAAAAGTGTCGCCATCTGGTGCCAAATGACAATATTGAATTTATGTCGAGGAAAAAAATTAACTGTGATTTATGTAAACATCCCACCATGTATTCTTCCCCTTTTAAAAATTCAATTGACTACAGTTAATTATTCGCTCAAAGATTTTTCCTTTAAACGGTAAGTGCTGAAGTTGTTCCATATCTTATTTATTAGTTATGCGGCCGGATATATGTAAAATATTTCAATGTTTTTAAAATATATTTATTTCATAATTTGAAATGTTTGTTGTAATTTATTTAAGAAAAAATAAAAACGTGAATGTGGTGGTAAATGTTTTTAAATTGTTTGTGCTGCCATCTGGTGAGTGAATTACTTATCAATGGTGAATTGATGCGCCATCTGGTTTGTACTTTTTAAACTGTTTTAATGCCTACAACAAAAGCAGATAATTTTCCTAAAGGTAAGTATAAAAATAAATCCGTAAAAATGGAAAACGCGCTTTATTAATTACTGTATTTGCAGATTAATTTCGAAACCTACCAAACTTGATGTACAGTACTAGTAAAATGATTATGTAATTTACAATAAAAGAATTTCATTCTAAACTTATAAAAATGACTAAAAAATAAAAATAATTTAAATTTCTTTAAGATAAATACCACCAGATGGTCTTACGCTTTCCAAATACAATCCATCTTTATGATTATGTATTTAAAAATCTTCCAATAACGAAAAATCACTAAATAGCAATGAAAATTACCTGCCGACACTAATGACATAACGCTAAATGGAACGTTTCTTTAACCCCTTTATTAAATGCCGCCGGGGATATCAGAGCGGAAAAGCGACATTTCCGGGGTCACTAGGCTCGCGCGGGCCACGTGCCCATACTAGAAGTGAGGCCCTGAGAGCAGGGAGGTAAAAAGGAAAAAAAATACGATCCCGATATTGTCAGTGGGAGGCCAACCGATTAAAGTTTTTTTCCCTTCCTCCCTTCCTTACCGTTCCATTTTTTTTTCACATTCGGGAGCTTCCCTCTTCTCGACATTCAAGTCACGTATATCATTTTTTTTTATGTATCTACTTCACCTGCTCGAGCGGTAGCAAAAGGAGCGAGTCGATTCTCTATCTATTGTTTTGACAAGACAAGCACCTGTGCAGGATCGGAATGGACTGTAAACGTCTATCGACTTCACCTGTCTTCGAAACTTTTAGTGACGATGATAATAGCCATTTTGGTTCTAATAATTCCATCCAATTAACCTGGTCTTAACTAGACGTTAAGAACTTTTGTATATAACTTCCTGTATTAACAAAGTGGGTGCAAAAGAAGAAGAAAAAAAAGTTAACTGCTTTTGTGAACGTTTCCCGAATCAACCGAGCGTTAAATAAAAGTATAATTCAATATGGAGTTTTTATTATATTTTTTTATATCATCATACCACTTCTTTATTTCATATAAATTGAAACATGTAAATGAACAACATTCTATACAAAAAGATTTTTCTTTTAAAGCACTCACTCGACAATGAGTTGCGCCCGTGTACAATTTTTCTTTCTTTCTTTGATTAAAAAAACACGTCTGCAAGAAAACTCTATGAGACTAGTTTTGGGAAGACCAAGTTTGTTAATAGTATAATCTCCCATATTGTTTTGTGTTTTTTTGATTCTCGAAACGTACTTGAGTACGATGTCCCTGAGCTCAAGCACCAGCCCCGACAGGGATACATACACTTTTTGGCAAACCTAGAGAGAAAAATAGAACACAGGAGCAAAATATGAACAGATAAACCTAAGAAAAAAAATGGAAGATCCTAGGAGAAATCGATACAAAAATAAGGATTATAGAAGAAAATTGTAGAAGTGATCACACGAACAAAAATAAACTCCAAGAAAGGAAAAATATAAACAAGGCAATGAATATAGCAAAAAGCATGACGAAAACAGATCACGATCACAGAGAAAACGGTAACAATTAAAAAAAAACATATATATAAAAGAAGCGAGCGCTAACCAGTCTTAGGGCGAGAATAAATTTTTTGGATTTGTGTCCTTGTGCATTGGGTCTGTGCGGCTATTAACCAACCTCGTGTTATTTTGACTTTTGTTTTGGCAGTGTGTACTGGTTAATGCTGCTTTTAATAGAAGAAATGAAATAAGGGAGGATAAAAAACGATAAAGAAAAATAAAGTTTTAAATGCCTTCCAAGACTGATATGTTAGAGAGGGTGATCTTGTCGATCACTCTCCTAGGAACTCTTGATGTGATCACAACGCGCAAAGGACAGTTCCTTCGATGGGTAAACAACGGGACACACAATACAACAAACACTCCTACGTTTAGTAATTATCTTCCACTTTTTCCTTTTCATAAATTAAAAACATTAACAGAACTCCGCCAAGGGGGAAGGCGAGAAAAAGCACTTTAAAAAACACACAAATATAATTTTTTTCTTCCTAAAACCCCCGGCGAAATTCGAACCCCTGAGAATAGTTATTTGTAGTATTTTTTCATTATGTATATAGTTTTAACTCCGAAATGAATACATATATATTTTTTGTTTTTTTTAGTCGGTGATGCCTGTCGGTGGTGTTTACCACCTCACCCCCCATTTAAGAGGGGTGGAGGCCGCAGTATTTGATTTTAGTCTGTCGCATATTTGTTTTGTTCGCGACTTTGATTTCGACTGTGGGCGGACTGAGATGACTGTACTGTATGAAACCAGTGACACACTCGGACTGCGTGAGGGAGTCGTGACATCATTCGCCCGGTTTCCCTACAACCCCTCTGTTACTTCCCCCTCGCCCCGATGATTCGTTTCTTCTTTACTGCTATTGTTATTAGTACTGTCTCCGTTTTTGGCCTTTCCTCCACCTTTTTTCTTCTCTTCTCGTAAGGGACACTCCGCTATCAAGTGCTCCACGGACTTGCAATGATGGCATCTTTTCGGTTGCGGACCCAGAGTACACTTGGCCGCTATGTGGTTGGCGAATTCCCCACAGTTATAGCACCTGGAAAGCAAGAAAAAAAGCACGTAAATCTCGCATATCACAAGTCTCTCCGGGAGAAATTGCAACTCGCATTGGTTTTTTAATATTAAACGGTAGTGACTCACACTAAACTGAAAATTTATAAACAAAAATATCGGAAAACTTGCTGACCTGATTTTCCTGAATCGTTTTTTGGACATAGGTCTGCGATGCGAACCGCGACAATCCTGGCCGCTAGGACCTGTGACAATTGTCGCTTCCAGTCCTTTATCTGAAACTTTACATTCGAACTCCACTTCCTCTTCATCGCCCAAGCTTCTGAAACCGGGCATCTGTATCACCGACTGCAAAACCGCGAGAAAAAAATATATATAAAATAAAAAAAACGCTTATAAAATATTGAGTTTCGCGTTGTAGCGCGGCCACCATCTTGACATCCAAGATGGCTCCCGCCAACAGATCGATATTTGGTAATAAAACTGAAAAGGTGGGGCACGTGGGCGGAGTTAAGTAACGCCTACTTCTCTCGTTCCTTTTTTCTTTCAATTAAAATAAAACGCCCCCGTAACGAGACTAAAAGCCATTTCTAATGAACCTTATATCCGAAACAGTGGAAAAACTGGACGAAAAACCCACACCAACCGATATTTTATATCAAAAATCAAAAAGTTTAAATCGATTTCTGGTAAACTGATTGACTGTAATAAGAACAAAATTGCACTTTAATGACAGGTTTAAGTCACGCAGTCAGAAACTCTCCGTCGTTTAAAATGCAATTTAGAATGTCTAATAGGAGTCCTCTCGTAGGAATAAACGCCGCTTGATGACCGACTGCGTACAATCAATACGCTTCCCTCAATTTTTTTTTTGTTTTAAACTATTCGAGGTTCTTGTTATGGTTGAAACAAATGTTTTCGTTTTTAAAGAACGATTAAATTATCGGAGTGGCATTTTGATTGGAATATAATCTGCAGACCTAATTCTATCATCTGCTACAGGAAGGAGACCACCAATTAAGTTATTTTTTTAATTACGGGGCTGTTGTTATTCGGAACAAAACTATTTAGCTTATACAAACTTCTCGAATTATCCTCCCTTTACTTATGATAACAAGTTAAAATTATTCGAATTTACAAGGATCTTTCCCGCAATTGTGGGACCATTTGACTAAAATAACTTCTTTGTTTGTCGAAAATGACTGAAAAGTTAAAATCTTGAAATATTAATACTAAGAGCGCTCCTGTTAATAGTCAAGTAACAAAAAAATTCTTAAAAAGAGGTTTCGTCCAAATAAAGAGAAGATCGATTTCTTGTTAACAAAGGAAGCTGAGCATTTCTGTAATTTAAGTCCGTCATTACTATTCAGATTAAGGTCAAACATCGCTGAAAATGAAGCCTATTTACAATTAAATCTCGTTGAAAAATTTAGTCGAGTCTGTGTATAGAATTGGAAAAGTAAGTTATATCCATCTAAAGAAAACTTATATATATATATATATATATATAAAATNATAATTTATAAATAATATATGAAGTTTGACGTTTATTTTATAAACTAAACTAAATCGGGTGAGCAATTTTGTTTCCAGAAAATTTGGCCTATTATCTAATTTGTGTTCATTTTTGACATTGGTGTAAGTTCGCCTAAATGGCGAACTGAATCTCCGACTTAGTCTAAATCGTGATGATTATTTTCTGATAAAATTCCTATCTTAAACGAGAATTTAATGACGATTTCGTTCCGAATAATCAGAAATTCATAAAATCGTTTCCGTTCTACTTATATTTCTTTATTGCCAATTTATAAGTTTGACAAATGAATTAATAGTTCTAGCACTGTTCAGTACGAAACTACGGATGTGTAATTTAAGTGATAGTTACCATGAGTTAACGAAATAAGCCGACAACGGAATATCTAATGTAATACATTAAATATAAATCGAACTGATGAGTATAAAACAATTATTATTAATTAGATCGCATCAAATCTTTATAAGACTTACAGTACTAACTCTTAGTAGACTAGTTTATTTTTGATAATTAAAATTATAATTTGTCAAAGAAAACTGTTAAATTGATTGTTATTTTATTCTACTAGTAATGCATCTAAGGCTACAAAAAGCAATAGAAAAAATGCTTTACTAACAATTTTACACGCTAAATACATTTTTTTCTAGATTACCGGAAAATCCTTACAAATAATCAACTTATTCAATTCTTTAAAAAGGAAATTTGAATACCTATCTCTTTATATTAGAAAAACACTGATTTGTTCTTATTCAGTTAAAACATACCATTACCATGTTGCTTTTATTGAAGACGTCCAGTCCAGTACAAAATCAAAGTTTTCGAGGAATAGTTCTTTATAACAATGTCTAATTTTCGATATGATTTTAAATTGGATCCTTCGGGTTTATTTTTCAAAATATCAATATAAATGAACAAAATTCACATACAAAAAGCTTATACTTCTTATAACAATAGTACAAATTATTAAAAATCAATGGCCTGAAGAAATTTTAAAAATTGCGTCAATTAAATTCCTATTACTTGCGATTCACGACAGATAAGACCAGATAGGTTCGAAATGAGCCTCTCTCTCAAAACTGTCGTTAAAAACCATCTCATTACATACACATACACACAACTAACTTAATATATTTTGATTGTCGATGCGAATAGAAACAAAGTTACTTTTACAACATTCCAAATCTATTCTGCATCGCCATTGTGGCCATTCATAACCGGCAACCGACATAACAGAGAATGGAAATCGCATTCCTACAAATATTAACATCCGTGTAAACACATACTTCCTGACTAATGGCCACGATTTTCTTTTTATACATCGTATTCGAATATCCTACCCATAACTCAAGCAAAGTATGTGATCCTTTCTTCGACTTTACTCCCATTACATCATTCGAAACGACCAGATGCTGCTGAGTTCAATTCACTCTCTCACTCTTCGTCTTTTAATCTAAGATAATGAATCCGAGCAAACTTTTTCTTTTTTCTAGATTTCATCACGGCCTTGATGGAAATAAATATAAGCGAATCTTTTATCATCACGACCAATAGGGAAAAATGAAAAAACTTCAGGATATTAAAAATAGTCCACATCAATCAAAAATCTGGCAATGTCCAAAGCTAACATGAGCCACGGTCCAATATAACGGAGGAAGGAAAAAATGAGCAGCGAAACTATTAATGTTTTAGCACACCCCACAACGGGACATCAACCCTTTCATTGATTCAGTGGCCCCTTCCGACCCCCTTCGTCCTCGTTGCCTGGCGACGGGCTTCATAACAAAAGCGCCCCTCTGGACATAGGAACGCGCGAGGATAGGAGCTATCTTAAGGCCCGAAATCTCGACCACCTGAAGATGTCGACATTTAACGTCTTGATGTGACTAATGGATCGACTGCTTCCGCCAGGCATTCTCCTTAACCTCTACCCTCGAGAGGGTAAAGACACTAATTTGTTTAATCTAATAAAACACGAATCGGAACTTAATCTAGATAATGAATTCAAGAAATTTATTCTCGGAAACATTTTAAAAAAGTAACGTATTTTCAGTATTCATAACGAATAGAACAACAAATTTTTGATCAGCCCTAATTCAAACGTCTTACTGTACTGTAATTATTTACTTGCAGTAATAACAAATTAAACATTTGATATTACTGTAAATTGTTGGTTTGATTGACATATTGCACTTTTCAGAAAATTACCGAACGAAAGAATAAAAAGGTGATCATTGTATTTAAAGAAAAAATAGATTTGTATGATACTAAGCATAAAAGAGACAAAAAGATGATTCTTATTTACATATGCATGTACAGTACTTAAAAACAAATTAATAAAAATCATAGTAAACTTCGGTTTTTAATATGACTTATAATACTTTCGGTGTCATTTGATGTTTAAACGAAGAGCATCGCGAAATCAAGTTATAAAGGTATGTTTTGTTTCAGACACCTTATAAGTAAATTTTAGCTATCTATCGATTTAATTAGAAACAAAAAGTTTATGAAAAACTATTATAAAGTTTAAACTATCATTTTTTAAAGAAATAATTTTAAGGCATTGATAGCAATATTTTACAAAATTTATCTCAGTAAATATACAAAAACTTAGCATTAACGTGAAAAGACTAAGTTGAGTTTACTGAAAAAATAATTGCAGGATTTAAGCATAAATTAAATTTTAATAACGGAAACAAGACATGATGTAAAATCTGTTCTTTTTTTCTCCATGTAAAATGTAACAGCTTGCTAAGAAAAACACGTTGAGCATATAACAGGAATACTTGACTTGTCGGATGATAGTAATAAGAAACAGTAGAAAGTAAATTTGCAAATAATCTTAATATCATTATGTTTTACATTGAGTTTTATAAACTAACTTGTATGCTAAAATATTTCTCGCTTCAAAAGTTTGTAAAAATATGTCACGTCATTGACTAACAAGAAAAAGATCTTCATAAGAAAATTTAAATCTGTAAAACTAAACAATTGCACAAAAACTTGCTAGTTCATATTTTCAAAGATAAAAGGAAAAAAAAGCTTTTCGGGTTAATTTGCTGCAGTAAAAAGTGTAGAATAGAAAATGTTATTTTACAAAGCGAAAATAAAAGAATAGCTCGAGTCAAACAGTATGTTGTAAAGAAAAAAAAGCGCTTTGTAGAATAATATAAAATTTATAAGGAAGAGAAAACTTTAATTTCTTAGAACATATACTATTTTTAGAATGCAAACAGATAGGAAAAAAGCTTTCAGCGATCCAACCCGGTTATTTACACAATCTGAAGAAGAATAAGCGAATTTCTCACTTCTCAGTCGACAATTATTACCGAGAAAAACGAATTTATAAAATTTACGACAGCCGACTAAACGAAAAACAGAAACTTGTTACCTTTTTCTATATTGATTTCAAACAATTCCCGTTATTAGTTCGAAACACCCTCTCTTTCTTACTCTTCTCTTTCAATTGCCTAAAAGCGGACGAGGTGTTATAAACATGACACAAACACGTTCGAGCTGTCCCAAAAATTATATTTTAAAGGCTCCACTTCCCCGTAAATACCGAATGATAACATCGAAGCAGAAGAAAATCTGGAGGAGTCAGAAACGACCAGGTGAAAGTCGAGAGATGACACAAATGTTGAGCTGTGACACCTGACTTAACTACCGTCCAAGTGATAGGTAATTAGGAGGACTACCATCTATACCGAATCGACTTATATAAGGAAATTGGTTACTTACCTGATGAACGAAGATATCTGGTCCTCCGTCGTTCGGTGTGATGAAACCCCATCCTTTAGCGACATTAAACCATTTGCATCTTCCTGTCCTGCGCCCCGTCGACCCCCCTGTTGGAATACACAGAGAAAAAATATTAATTTTCCCATGCTACGTCTCATAAACACAGTATGGCTAAGTAGGTGTTTTTCTTCCCCCTCTTAGGAGCCCTGGAGGGATCCTAGCCCTCCGAGGGACTGACCCACTGCTGGTCAGGGGATGTATGCTGCTTGAGAACCCGAGTCCCCCGTTTTGGCCAATAAAGTGGAATTTACCATCCGGTGCTTTGTACAGAAAGAAAAATATATTTTTGATAACTTCAGGAAAGTCCGAATATTTTTTTTTGTTTTTCATTTCTTAACTTCCTACGGGCTCCAAACTGTCCAAAATCACTATAACAATTTAGGAAGAACGTAATTGTATGTTCAATCGATAGTTCGTTTGCTGTTACGCTTGATGTCAATCGTACAAAATCAATAATAGTTGAGATAGTTGAGAATTAAGAAAAATCACAGCTTAAATTTGAAAAATATTATAGACTTTAACTAACTAAAAATTAAATAAATGGATGAATATATACGGAATTAATAAAGATATTCATACAAATTATCTTCAATAATCAAGTATTTGTCAAAATTATTTATGAAAAAAAAAAATGTTTTTGTTACTTAAAATTAGCAAACTTAAGAATGGCAATTTTTCTTTTAAAATTCATCTAAAACATACAATGAACTAAAGATGACAGCTATATATACTAGAAATTATATACATTTATATTTAAAGCCTAAAGCATGGTACACTTAATATATATTAATTTACTTATTTAATAAACTAAATAGCTTTCTTTTAGAATTTCAGATGACAGTTAACTCTTAAAATTTTTAAAAGCTATAATCCATTATTATTGTGTTGAAGTTGTCACACAAAAAAAAATGTTAAACATTAAGATCAACTGATACAAAAATTAATTTTGATATGTATCTTGTGTACGAGACATTTTTTATATAAAAGCATGTGTTTATAGTACATTTAGAGTAAAAAGAGGATAAAATTAATAATAAAAAATGCAATGATTAGAAAGTTTTCTGGAAGTTGAAATTTAAAAACATTTACTCATTATGAATTGACATTCAATGAAAAATATAGACAAATTTAACTAAGATATGAAAGTCATCTTGATGAATCTATAAGCATGAAACAAAATTTTGTTTTAAAACTTTATATGAAAAAAGAATAATCATTGTATAGTCTATAATATAACTAACATTTAGTAAAGAATTAAAATTAAAAAATCTCTTCTTAGATGACAATAAAAACTATTTTAAATAACTTTCAACACTTGATCTGTATAAAATTGAGCCTGAATCTTTAGAGCTTTATTTTTTCCATACTAATATTAAATTATTGAAGTTTTAATACAAAATTAAAACCTGTAATTTAAACTGCTAACAAATACTGATAGCTAGATGTATGTATTACACTATTAGATTAGTAAAATTAAATTAGATTAATAATCTATTTTATTTTTTGGTAAGTTCATAAAGCTGAGTTAGATACAAGCACAAGAAACTCAATTTTTATGAATGAATTGTCAATATTTTATCAATTTCAAAATATACTATAGTTATATTTTTAACTTTATGTAACTATATAGGCAGTTAATCTACCTGTAGAAGTTGAAAATCTGATTTACGAAAATCCCTAACTGACAAGTTAGAGTATGTTTCTTACACCACTTTGGATAATTGCTCATGGGCAACTCTTCAAAATTTATAATGAACATAGATCTGCTCAGATCTATCATTTCTTGGAAAAGGGAATGAAAATTGATACAATCATTATTTTTAATTATACCTAAAGACTAATTAGAGGACCCAATTAAGGCATCTTATCTAAAATCTCACATATCAAAAGATATACTGACACAGGTCTACAAATTACAGCTTGGGGCTAAATTGGTGTGCCACTAAGCAATATGATAGCATAAACCTGATGAAATCTTAAAAGGAAAACACACATATAAAGTAGAAAAACTTTTTGAGGAACTTGCAGGTAAACGTACATATTAAATGAATTTTTTCTTTAATCTATTGAAATGAACAGCTATTTATGGCCGCTATGTTTTAAGAAAGTTAATCTACAAGTTAAGAATCTGCAGAATTGATCTAATTTTGAAATTTGTTCATCGATAAATGCAATTTCTACGACGTATAATTACAAAATTATTACTGGTTTTTTTTAAGATTACAATTTCACGCTGATGAACTTTAAAACATTTTGAATTTGGGTATACAGAATATTTTAGACCCGACAGCCGAATATACAAACGTTTATAGAAATACGATTAATTTAATTATAATTATTTTTTGAAGAAAATCGCTTTTAGAAATCGCAAAATAAGTAACGCCTGTCGGGTTAGGCTTAACGACAATGGTTTTAAAATGCCGGTAGGCGAATTTGAACAGTGATTTTCTAATTTCAAGCTAAATTTACTCATTGAGAAGATAGAAATGGAGATGTTAATCTCTTAAGTAAGACCTTAAACGGATCCAAAGAAGTTTTGAATGCGAAAGATGATCAGAGGAGCTAAGCCTAACCGTCAGAAGAGGAAAAATGATCGTGCTTTTCGGCTATGACGTTTCACGATTTAGGATTAATTTTATCATTTTTCCCTACCAGTTCGACGTCGCGAAGATCCTCTACTAACAGCTTGGGACGTTATGCTGGTATAAAACGGTACCGATCACGGCACAACTTCTCCAAAAGGGAACTACAATGGCGTGCGATGGTCAACGCAGCTGTTGCCAGAACCAATACTACCAAAGAGGGGAGGGGGAGCCACGTGACGGGTCAGCACTAGTTCAACTTTTTCCGTCTTTGTCCGACATAAGAGATTTCCCCAACCTTACCACCTGCTTCCTTCTTACTTAAAAATAACAACAACAACATATAGCGATTCGTACGGAATAGAACAGAATGCGCTGTCCATTAGTTAGAGAAAAATTAAATGTTAATTAAAAAAGAGAGTACGATCCACCTGTAGACATCCTCCCTGAACCTCCAGCGTGACACTTTCGTTTCGTAGAAACTCCCTCAAGGATAACTGCTAACGGGATGCTTTACTTTTACTTAAAAGCGTGCGCTACAGTCACGTGAGGAGATTCGCAGCGGCGGTACGTCCCAACCACCAATAGGAAGCTTGAACCACCTGCCAATTTTCGATTACGTAGGAAGAGCGGACGATTTAAAAAAGTTCTAATGATAATGAGGAGAATTAAGTACAGGGAAATTTTAATCATTTACGAGGAATTTAGGAATTTTTTTTATTATTACTGTAATTAACAAAGAAAATTTTGCTATGAAAGCAAATAAAGAAAAATACCAGGGATATTTATTTTCTATTTTAAATTACCAAAAGTGCAAAAAAAATTTGCGATATTCGCTTCTTACATTCTTATGCATAGTTTAATAATTTACATATTTTAGAAAGGTAATTGAGCGCCGATTTTTTCGATTATCAGACCATAACTATGGAAACTCTCGTCGAAAGATCTCGGAATCAATTTTCTTTGTGAGTTACTAACATTAAGAAGATAATATTCAAAAATTGAAATATAAAAACGAAATACCAAACTGGAAAATAAACTGAATCATCAATATATTTCATACATCACTTTAAAATCTATTTAAAAGTAAATTACAGTATTGTGGTAATTTGAACACTCTTGGATGCCTGAAAATTTTAATTAGATTTAATAAGTTTTCAGATATTCCAAAATTTATAAATTATATACTTTTATATAAAATAGTTATGATAATGTTTAAAAATAAAATTTATGAAAAAAACTAGCTAATTCAAAAAGAATTAGATAACTGAAGAATTAATTTTATTTTCTATGATTTTCAACGTTAAGAAACTAGGCAAGAATGTATGTTCCTGTTGGTACTGATAAATAAATCGCATAGTTTATAATTGATAATGAAATGTTTAAGTTTTGATAGTAATCTGTTTTATTTAACTTCGATAACATATATTAACCTAAAACTTTTAATATTATTATTTTATATTATTTCAATTATATATATATAATTGAATATTAATAATACTAATAAGAAAATTATATATATATAATTTTCTTATTAGATACGATGTAAAATTGAAAGATGATTGACTTTAACAATTTGAATAAAAGTACAGTATATATTCAAATTGTTAAAGTCAATCATCTCTCAATTTTACATCGTATCTAATAAGAAAACACTCTCTGTACAGTACTTTATTAACGAAGTCAATGTCTTAGAATTAAAGTTCGACTTTTTTATAATAATAAAATTAATTGTATAAGATGTTTTGTTCCCTGTAAAGTTGTATTTTTCTAATAATGTTGTCACCTATTGTCTTGTTACAGAATGCTTTATTATTATAATTTTTGAATTTCCTGATGTAACTGAGCATAATTTCATTTTTTTATAAGGTATGTTAAGTAAAAATTGTAGATAATCAAGAACACTTAATTCACTAGATTTAAAATGCTTAACCTATAGAGAAATATAAAGATAAAAAGTAAAATATTATAAGTTAGTTAATAAATTTCTGCTGGCTTTGTTTAAATTCTCTATGATTGATTTAATAATAATGTCTAACAGGAATTCTGAACAATAACAATCTTCACTTACTTAAATTAAGAAAAGTTATTTTTATCGATTCCCAGTAGATTTTTTTAAATACTCGTAACGGCAATAAGAAATATAACAATAATTATATATCAAATTAATTTGGTTAATAAGAAAAAAAAATATCTACTACTCTTCACCTTATACAAATACATATGCGAACAAAAGAGGAAGAAAAAGCTTTGAAAGAATTCGTAACCAATTAATAATAAGAATTCGAGATCTCTTTTAAAACATCGACCCCCTTGTCCCCACCTGCCTCGGATATCATCCTCCCCTATCACTAAGTCCCTGGCCAGTAATACGTGTTTGGCATATTGAGTAGAGAAATGACAATGTCTGCGACTCTCGACAATGAAGTTGGTTTGTCACTCACCAAATTCAAGAACGAAGCTCCAATCCTAATTTCTTACTGCTTTTCACTAGTTGTTTTACCTTCTCCATCTTCGGTTCTTTTATCGATTTTTCCATGTCGCTTAATTCGACTTAGATGAAAGATCTAGATGGGGGCTGCTGATAATTTAAATCTCATAGTTGTACGTTACGTTTAGACTTGAGTGAACATACGGCAAAAAATATAGTAGCTTCAGAATTGCATTACATTTTTAAAAGAACAAACAAAATTTTAAATCTTATATAAGTCATGTAACTGGGTAATTACAAAAGTCACCTTTATTTTACAAAACATTTAAAATTTATCTATACCAATAAATCAAAACTACGATATTTTTATTCATAAATATTTATAAAACAAATAATCTTATTTATCTTCAGAACAAAGCTATCATCGCACTTATTTAAACCATACAGTTGCAATAGCCAATTTTACTGATAAAATATATATCATTTAACGTATGATTTATTTACATGTAACTATATTTAAATAGATGATGTTACCATGTAAGAACCTATATCTAATTCTGTACGCTCTGTCTTCTGTTTAATTTTAAAGTTTTATTTAACAGTATTTTTGACTAGCATTCTTAGAATACAGAACAAAAGCCCAAATTTCTATGAATGGAAAAAAATACAGGCAAACTTTCTTTTTAGTTTTCTTTAAAAGTCCATGATTAAATCGGAAAATGGAAAAATAATTATAATTGCAAATATGAAACATGGAAATAATTTTAATTAATAAATGTAACTTTTATTTGTTCTCGTGTTTTTAGTCTTTTTTTTCTTGCTATATTCTAAATTAGGCCTATCTTATAACTTAGTAACTAAGTTTTTTATATTTTACAATTTATTAAACTAGTCTGTAACGAGAAATTATAAGCATAAAAAAAATTATCGATTTATCAAAATATCCAAATTATAAGTGCAAGAAACTGACATGCCACTCAGTCTAGCTCAATATAACCAATCTTAACTGCAGATATCGGTTTAGGAGCCAATAATAACAATCTAGATACCCTTGGCTATCGGCATAAGATACTCACCGCCCTAACTAAACTAAGTTAATTAATAGATCTAGTTAAATCTAACGTCTTTTACGGATATGACCCATTCTCATCCATTCTAATTATTAAAAGGGAAAATTCTTGTCTAGTTTTATTTTATACACTCTATCTTTAAGTCTTCCCAATTATTATAGAATAATTATGGAGCTGTTCGAAGTAAAAGGCGGCCTTAGGGAGACCAAGTGTTTCCGTTCGGCTCTTAGGAGGTCCTAACTTAGCTCATTCTATGAATGTATACTGTCCATTTCAAGATGAATGAGGGTCGTAAGAATGGGTCTACAGTTGCTAAAAACTTACACATAAATTCTTATATAATTTATAAATTGGTTGAAAACTCATAATCGCAGAATAGATCATTTTAAAAAAATGAAAATTGTTTAATTTTTACGAAATTTCGAAGTGTTTAATTTGTAAAATTATGCATCCAGGTTTGACCTATTTATTATATCACTACAACCGGACGTGATTTAATTATTTACTTTTAATAGCTTATATACTTATTTAAGCAAGAAAAAAAATCATAATAGAAATGTCCCATGCCAATTAACTACTCGGTAAATATCGGATAATGAGTAGAAAAAAACTGATCAAACGTGACAACCTACTGGAATAGACAGATGCTGTTTTTATGTACTGCGAGTAGTGCGCGATAAGAAAGTAGGAAAAATGGTGTTAATACATTCAATCGTTCAGATAAAGATCTAACGACCGCGTGGACAGGTGTAAGCTTTCTTTAAAGAGGCCCACGTCAAAAATTAGGTTGTTTTGGGTCCTTTTTTGACAGATACTAATTAAAAAACGTCGTCAATTTATATTGATTAATAAGCGTCTTATCGAATATTACATCATGTAACTTTATGCAGAAAAGTGATACACAGATGAGATGCCGAATATCTCCGAATTTCAGCGGATATTCCATGAACTAGGACAGGACATGTGGGGTCAAGGTTCAAGGGTTTTTCTTCCCCACGGTCAAGTTGTTTGTTCCTGGTCTAAGGTTGTTTGTGTCGTTCTATAACAATGGAACCCAAGTTCTATTCCCACGGAAAGATGTTTTTTTCTATAGATTATCTCTTCTGCTAGAAAAAAAATTTTACCTTCCAAAAAGACGAAATAATTTCTTATTCCGGATGAAAAAGTTTTAAAAAAATAATCTAAAATTTTAAAATGGAAAGACTAACATGTTTATTCTTATGTGAAATATTGAGATTCACTAAAAATTTTACACTGAAAATAACGGCCTCATTCGTAATTAATTATTATTGATCCAATCACGCATAACTGAGCGAGGCCGTTGACATGACAACCGTCAATCATTGTGCAAGTGTTAATTGGGGGCGGAGAATATTATAGAAGGCTGAATATATAAAGTAGTCAACAGGTTTTGGAAAAAATTCATTTTTATAAATTTAATAACTTTTTATATAAAATAAAGATTATTAAATACTTATAATATTGAATTAGGATAATACTGAACATTTTGTTTTATTTTAAAACTGGAAATCACCCTTTAAACAAAGACAATGATTTAAAAACAACAGACGCCATCTTAGATTTACAAATGTTTCTTATTTTAAATTTTAAAAACTATTAAACAACTTTAAAAATTTTTATAAAAACAGGGAAAAAATGTTAATTAAATGTTTAATTAATGATAATTTATAAGTTTGAGAAAATACTTTCGAATTGTAATTTCATTTCTCTTTTTTTGTTCTCAAATGCCTGCGATAAAACTTAAATATATCCACAAAGAAAATTAGATTGTAAAACCGTTTTTTTTATATAAAAAATGTGTAAAAAAACAAGTTGAACCTGAGATTCATTCTGTAATAGTTCGTTAAGTCAACCATGGAGGGCGCTAGTGCACAGTAAAAGTAGAGCTTTTGGCGGGACCAGAGGGTAACCAACAAGTTCTATAACCCCTACATGCAAATTAATGATTTTAGCATTCAAAAAAATTGTTGTATCATTAAATAAATTTCAAATAATAAAAACACAATGCTTTCCATTTTAGGTCTCTGTGTAAGTAAAAATGTGCTTAAGGGTCAAAGGTAATAGAGTACGAAACGGGTATTTGTATAAATAAATGACTTAATTACAATTTTAAAAAGTTTATAAAAACTTACCATTTGTCTCAGCCATGTCGGGAACTCCGATGTTTTCTCCTCGTTCCCC